GCGCAACCGACGAAGCGTACCATATAGTTAGGGGTTAAAAATACACCGGCTGACCTCGACCACGTTATGCAAAACACAACGTGTATCCTAGAAAACTTTACTATACTCTCTACTAAATAGCGGATCGGACAGGGTAATAACGGCAATCAATGAACAATAGCGCAATAAAAAACAACGAATTGGTTATTCATTCCGATTATAATATATACCGCACGGTAAACATGGAGGATTTATACGATACAATCATAAAGCACGAGATTACTTTTATTACAGTTGCGTGACGAAAATGCATTGCTACATACTCTTCCAAATAAATTGTTTGTATAGCGAAGTTTTTATATATTTTTTATTAAATATTTCGCTATTTAAACCTCACACAAATCGAAGGTGTGCTGGTCAAAATTAAAGGAGGAATATGATATTGTTATCTAGTTACATTTTTTAAATATTATTTAATTTTCAGATATTTCTAACGCTTATAGCTCGAAAACGCACACTATTTATTTTTTTGAGAAATTAAGATAAAGAATTATGTTTTACATAGCAATAATTCCTTTTATTTTAATTCTCAACTGTTTCGTAGGGTAATTGATTGATTAATTTCATTTATTTTTTAAAGATCTAATATCTATAATATTATTTTAAATTGATAATTAATTTTATATATTTATTTAAAAATTCTCAAAGTTAACTTTAAGGTAAAGAGAGAATTAGAAATAAAAAATTCAGATTCTTTCTTTTAATAAATAATCATTCGTGAAAGGATTACGTCATATGATAAAATTTGCTGAGCAACGATGATATAAACGGGTTATTTTAGTAGGGTGCAAGAATAATCTACCGCATCGTGCATCAATGAGAATTACAAGCGGGTTTATTCTCGTCGTTGTCCCGATATACATATACCGGTGTGTCGTGTGGCGGGAACGAAGGGAGAATGCGGTCGAGCAATTACACGATGTCCACTGTACGTCCAGGGTGAGGTACGGACGGTGATTATCACGAAAATCGTATATAATTCTTAATTAAAATTAGAGCGGCTCTCGCGATCGCAGCGGGGATATTGCGACTAGAGAGAGAAGAAGAGGACGGAGAAAAAGAGGGGAAATATTTCGCGCTCGAATTCATCGGATCCCACGGCGAGTCAGGGACTTTTATCTCTCCCGCTTACCTGCGGGGGTTTCATCGGAACCCCCTTCCTTCTCTCTCGCTATATTTATTGAGATTCGTAGTTTTACGATTGGCGGGGAACGTCCCGTGATAAAATTGCGCGCTCGGCATTGTATCAAATATTTCCTAAACCTTTCTATCTCGGCAATTATGTATAATCGATATTTGAATTTGCAAGGCATATCAAGTAATACACGTGGAGTTTAATCAGCTGTAACTATTTATATATAATTATTTGACTTAAAGCAATTTAATCGAATTTCCACACAAATTGATCGTAATAATATCGTCATATCAATTATATTTTAATTATTATTGCGGTAATCTTAGTAATATTGATAAAAATAAATATAAAATATATTTTTATAAAAATACATTTTTTTCATGGATATATCATTTATTATGATAAAGGTAATAGATAATAGTTTTCGAGCGAAGAAGAGACTTGCATATATTAGACGCAATGAGCATTGAAAATGACACGAAGGCAAAAACAGGAAGAGACGTTGATCGTTGAATGTGGGATGTACGACGTACAGAGTGGCATTACTTCAGAAAATATCTGATCGGCCGTGACGTCGACGTAAGCTCGCGTACGGCACATGTACCTACACGTGTTCGACGCACTTTATCGCGCATAATTAATCCGGACTAGTCGACGTAGAGCCGAGACTACGATGAGCACGAAAGAAATACAACTTTTTACGCTACCCTGATTGAATTTAATTCGCGCGTGGAAAAATTATATAAATCTGATGCACTCTACGTGCATCTTAAAATAACTCGCTATTACCCTTTAGTAATCACAATATTAGCTTTAATAATTTTTCGGAGCATAAAGATAAATAATATAGCTAGATATATAAATAATCATAAAGAAAAAGAGAGAATTAAAAAATAATTTCATCACATGATGGAATTTTGCACATTTTAAGAGATATAAAGGTAAAATACATCTCAAGAAATATTTCTAGAGAAAAATTGTATTCACTGAAAAAGGTACTTGCGTACAAATATTCAAAGAGATACAAGTACCTCTCGTACTTCGCACTATCAGACTGCGCTTGAGACAGGACCGAGATGATTCCGGCCAGGTCGAACTAACAATAAGAGCCAATGGTAGGTGTAACGGCGCGTGACTTTTAATCCGATAATCGATGCACGCATCCACCGTGTGTCCCCCCCCCTCCTCCCCCTCTCTCACGTTTGAACCCTCGGCACGCGGGGGAACTCTCTCTTTTTCTCTCGGAAACAGATCGAATTGACTCGCTCTCTCTTACTCTTCTCGGCCATTACCTGGTCATGGCTATCAGTCCGAGAGCGAGCGCTCGACGAATAATATAATAAATCACGTCGGGTCAGAGAGAACGATACGACTTCCGAGCTACGTTTTCAACCCGCGAGTACCCTCGCCCACGTGTATCTCTCTCGCGTACAACCAGTGTGTACTATGTGTTATGTTTGTTCGTGCCTAGGTGTATATCAGCGACGGCGCGATCTCACGACTTCCATGTTTAGTCGCGAGTTGCTGTTGCTGGTTGCGAGCGAGAAGTTGCGCGACGATACGTCCGGTACGACGACAGCAATGACGACGACGACGACGAGAGAGCATCGATCGTGTGTCCGCCGTTTCTCATGTTTTCCCACTCGAAATTGTTATGTAATTCCGTTGCGGCATCGATCGCCACGCGGTGCGAAACGCCCGGTCTCGACCGGGGATCCTGACGATACCATCTCGGGTCCGAAACTCCGGAGCTTTCACGATACTCTAACAATCTTTGATGTTTTCTGTTCTAAAGCATCGATACTACAGAGTTTATTAATTAAACAGATAATTATTACTAGACTGTGTTAATGAAATATTTTTGTGTCGACAAAATTATTTTGTTAAACAGGAACAAATTATTTTTAATCTTCATTTTTTTGACAGGTATAAATTTGTTTTTGGCAGCGGAATTAATTTATAAATTAATAGGTTGCTAAATTAATAAATTCTCTTTTTATTGTGACACAAATGTCAAGTGATTTTTGCAATATTTATGTGAATTCATGCGAAAATTCTATATGATAAATAATATTTTTTTCACGCTTGTCAGAATTTATTTAGAAAGAATCTATCGTCATTATATTCAAAAAAATATATCTTTATCTTTAAGGATATATATATTATAAAAAAAGACAAAAAATATATCTTTATATTAATAATTATTATATAATAATTAATTATATAATTTCTGTTTATAAAAATTTTTTAAATTATGATTTATATTACTAATTGTAAAATCAGGATGAACTTTTTATTTATCATCTACATCAGCATTTATATTTTATTTTATTTGTTAAGAAAGACAGGGAGAAAAAGAAATATTTTTTTAAAGCATTTTACGAACAATTTTATAAAGTCAATACTTTAAGAGAGCAAACTCTTACGAAAATATTACGAATTTCGCAAGCCTTTGATCTTGTAAGTTTATTTTATACCGCAATATATTTCTCCAGGTGATTATAAGATTCACGAAAGTCATTTCCTTGACTCTAAATCATTTTGGCGTGGAATGGCTCAAATGTATTTAGCAAATACAAGCATTGCTGATATCGGTCCCGATCTGTTTCGAGTTTAGACAACTCTGAATATCGTTCATTGCAATCCTTGTACGCATTGTGGTCCTTATATAAAATTACCATAAATAAGATTGCGCGACCGAGTCTGACGCGAAGAAAACGGTAGTCGAAGAGCTAATCGTAAATAATGGCTCGGTTCGCGCACGTTCGTGACACACGACAGAATGTATGCACGAATTCTTAGATTGGATAAACGCGAATGCCAGGTGCTCGCGAAGTAAAGAACGCTGAGCACTGTTATTAACTCCTTTTATAACCAGTATCTCTAAACTGCGAATAAACGAGCGTTAATTATGTATGGACAAAATAAAATTCTATTATAGTGCATCCTCTGGGTTATGGGCCCAGCACGCTTCCACTGCGCCACTCTGCTGTTGAAGTAGAGGACAGTTAAAGCTACTTTTTAGTAACGCCCGATATTTTAATTAGTAAATAATTATTAGAATTAAAATTTAATTATTAGAAATACTTTAAGAGAGCAAACTCTTACGAAAATATTACGAATTTCGCAAGCCTTTGATCTTGTAAGTTTATTTTATACCGCAATATATTTCTCCAGGTGATTATAAGATTCACGAAAGTCATTTCCTTGACTCTAAATCATTTTGGCGTGGAATGGCTCAAATGTATTTAGCAAATACAAGCATTGCTGATATCGGTCCCGATCTGTTTCGAGTTTAGACAACTCTGAATATCGTTCATTGCAATCCTTGTACGCATTGTGGTCCTTATATAAAATTACCATAAATAAGATTGCGCGACCGAGTCTGACGCGAAGAAAACGGTAGTCGAAGAGCTAATCGTAAATAATGGCTCGGTTCGCGCACGTTCGTGACACACGACAGAATGTATGCACGAATTCTTAGATTGGATAAACGCGAATGCCAGGTGCTCGCGAAGTAAAGAACGCTGAGCACTGTTATTAACTCCTTTTATAACCAGTATCTCTAAACTGCGAATAAACGAGCGTTAATTATGTATGGACAAAATAAAATTCTATTATAGTGCATGTCGCGAATAAGTGAATCCTAGGCATTCTTCTTGATATATATATACATCAGCAATAAAAGATATATCATTAATTGAATTTTAAAGAAACATTTTGTTGGTAATAAAAAAATGCATAATTTTTTATGGCTCCATTATTTAAATAATTTTCTTCAGAGAAAAAAAAAGAGAATTTATTTTTTTTTTTTTTTTTTTTTTAGTCGGACATCGTCCATCAGAGTGTCTACGAACTGGTGCATAGCGAGGACCGGGAGGAATTGCAGCGGCAATTAATGTGGAATTCTTTCCTGCCTGCCGAAAGTGCAAGCCTGCCGTTGCACGACGCACTCTCGCCCCAGCATTGTCACCTGCTCGAGCGCAGCTTCACGGTTCGCTTCCGTTGTCTTTTGGACAATACATCCGGTTTTCTGGTACGTATATGCATTCCCTTATATTGCCTTGTTCGTGCGTATTTTGATTTTCACGTATTTTAATTTTTAATCTCTAATTCGCAGAATTTAACGAAAACAATCTTTTAAATCTATATTATAGATATATTTTATATAAATATCTCAAAACTTTATTATTCTCGTTTTGTTTGTCTAAAGAATTTTTCGATTAATTTAAAACAAATTTTTTGTTAATAAAAAAAAACTCATTTTCTTCAATATTATTTTAATTCCTGACATTTAAATAGAGTTTTCTACTTAATTAAGATTAAAGTCGACTTTTTACTTGATTGTCTTAGCTTTCCAAATTAGTTATAACTAAAGGATTAATAATTATATTATCAATATATTAATACAAACTAATATATGCATAATTAAACTAACATGTAATTTACTTATGTAAAGTATATTTACATTTACTCTGAAAACCGAGAGGTGTTACGGAGTAATCGGAATTAATTCTATTTTGGTACTCCGTTTTCCTTCGTGAAAGCACGTAAACGATCTCGAGATCTTTGCGGCGAGGTAATTACAAATAAATGACGTGTGTGCCAGGAAGAAGGGTAGTCTTGAATAAGGACCAAGCTAGGTCCTTACGTCTCTTCACGGTTACAAAAGAGATGTGCCGGCATACAAAACAGTAATTAATAATTTCACTGTCGTAAAGGGAAGAGGAACGAGAACTCTTCCCCGCCGTCACTGTTTCCTCCGCTCTCGTGTAATTGCTTTTCTTTCCGTCCATCTTGCCGTTCACCTCTCCTCCTCCGATCCTTCCTCCCGGGTTGTCTCCTACTTACCCTCTCGACCTGCCATCGAAGCTAAGTCGCGAAGGCATAACATCAGGTTGTTGTTAACTTTACATCAACGATTTTTTTTCTTAATTTTGCGAGAAATTAAATAAATACGTTAATACACGCAATAAATTACAATTAAAAATTATTTTTACGCAATAATAAAAAAACTAATTCTTAATCATAATTTTGTCGGACGATAATAACTTGACATTTCATTTATATGATAAAATGTGTCGTCTCTCTGTGAAATAGGAGTTTTAACCGCAGCAAAACATTCTCACAAATTTCCTGAACATTCTTAGGGGAATTTCGAATAGTGCTTACGTAAAAACGGCCTTAAATCTGGGCCGTAGGGCCGACATTATTCCCCGCGCAAAAGCTGAACGTGTATAATAATAGGCCCAGCCAATGAACCGTGACAGCGCGGCGAAGATTGAAACGATAATTCGTCCGGACGGCCGAGCTGTCCATCGTCGGTACCGTTGTCCCGATGGCGTTCAAGAAAAGGTATAAATCAAGGACCCGAACAAAACCAGGTTCTCCATCCCTCCGGGGAGGAGGAGGAAAAAATCGGGCAAGGGGAAGAGGGGGAGGTCGAGGTACGGAGAGACGCGGCAAAACACTAATTATCTTACGGCAAACACACCGCGGATGCGCGCACAGGTATATGCGCGATGTCGAGCACGACGACGCGGTCAAAGAGAGAAAGAGAGAGAGAGAGAGAGAGAGAGAGAGAGAAAGTACGACGGTATTATCTTGGCAAAGAGGACAAGGACGAGAGCGAGAAAGAGAGAGAAAGAGGAGAGTCAGGGTTCCGAACACCGCACCCAAGCTCGGGAGTTTGGCAAAAACGGCGCCGCTTTGACGTTTATGAAAATGAAACTGTAATCGTAAAAGAGGGTTTACGGCGCAAGAGATTCATCCGCCGCCACCTCCTTCAGGATTTGCCTCCGGAACCTTGGCGGCATCCTTCGCGACGGGATATACCGCGTGGATCCTAGCTACCGTGTGCTTTTTTTTTTAGTTTTTTTTTCCTCCTCGCCGGACAGATCTACATTCTGTTTCCAACGCCACGGGCAAGATCTATCACTCGCATCCATCAACGGATATTGTGAGGGAGATTTTTCGATAAACGTGTCTTATGAAAGGAACATTTCAAAGAGAACATGTAATGTACAATAATACTCATAATATATCTATTAATGTAGCGCGAAATAATTTACACAATAAATATTTATAATAATATAATGAGAAATTGTTTATAATAATATTAATAAACTTCACGTTAATTAAATATTTAATTTAATAAATTTATATATCATCAAGTATATATTAATTAATTATTTAAAAATAAAGAGTCTTATTCATATATTTGTTTATAATGTGTAGTGTAACAGATATTATTCAGTTAAATGAGTTACCAAATTTGAATTACTCGATGTAATATGCGAAGTGTGTAATATTTTATATATTTCTAAAAAGAATCACGCGCGAGAAATATTGTTATATAAATCAAAGAATTAAAATTCATATTTATAATATTAACTATAATTATTAATAAATTTATAATATAAACCGATTAATATTTGCTGCATTTTGTATCAATCACAATTTTACGTGCGATATTTATTAACTTGTATGATGTTTGATTATTAATTCTCTAAATTATTTATTTTTTATTTAAATAACTTCTATTTTAATTTCTGAATCGTTTATTGCAGCGTCTCGACATCAGGGGCCGAGTTAAAGTACTTCATGGCCAGAACCGGAAGACGGAAGAGCCGCCGTTGGCCCTGTTCGCCCTGTGCACACCGTTCGGGCCTCCTTCGCTCTTAGAAGTGCCGCAGAAGGAAGTGATGTTCAAAAGCAAGCACAAATTGGATCTCGCACTCGTGACGATGGATCAGAGAGGAAAGATGCTGTTAGGTTATTCTGATGCGGAACTAACGAATCTCGGTGGCTACGATCTAGTCCATTACGACGACTTGGCCTACGTCGCTAGTGCGCATCAGGAATGTAAGTTATGTTTTTAAAACATCATAGGAACTGTCTGTGTGCACAGCAAAAATGATATTTTCCATAATACAAAGTAGAGATTAGTTTTTTAAAGACATTGTTATTGTCGATTAAAATATGTGAAAGCAAGTTAGTATTATACAAGCTTGCTAATTATTTTATATAAACTTGATAGTATTAATACTTCATTTTTACTCCTGCAAAGATTGGCTTGATTTGGCTAAAGCACATTATTGTATTATCTTACGGAATAAATAATTAATGAATATTGAGAGGATTTTAATCTAATGTTTGTTTTTTCAGTATTAAAAACTGGTGCATCGGGTATGATAGCCTACAGATTTCAAACGAAGGATGGCGGATGGCAATGGCTACAGACTAGCTCTAGATTGGTCTACAAAAACTCGAAACCAGATTTTGTACTCAGTACTCATCGACCTCTCATGTAAGTTTCAGCGTTAGCGTTGACGAAGGAGCTATAAAAGGCATTTATGCAATTAACATTTTTTTATATTTCAGGGAAGAAGAAGGTCGAGACTTGCTCGGCAAACGTACGATGGACTTCAAAGTGAGCTATCTGGATGCCGGATTGACCAATAGCTATTTCTCGGATAGTGACAGTTTGACAGGATCAGTCATGACGCCGACGCTACCGGCGCAGCCGGCACCACAGAGAGGGAACAGACGATACAAGACGCATCTGCGAGACTTTCTTTCGACATGCCGAAGCAAACGTAGCAAACTCTCTGCTCAGTCGTCGGTCTCGCCACCGGTAACTCCCACAGTCGCGTCCGTGGATTATCTTGCGCCGGACACCAGCGCAGCAGCCGCAGTTGCGGCGGCCTACAATTTAAACACTATGTACCCGACGCCGTACGCGCCCACAGCAGTGGCGGCTAGTACCGATCCTTCCTTGACGACTTACATCGGCCACACGGGCAACTATCATCAAACTCTCTATCCAGCGACTGCATTAGATAACAGGTAAGTTGATTTGAACCGATTCTGATACACATTTATAGAATTTGACGAACCACTATGAAAAATTTAATTAATTTAGATAGTTTATTATAAAGCATTTAATTTGCTAAATCAACCGCGACATAAAATAGCGAATATAATGTAGACAAAATGGTAAAGAAATTTATATTACTATTTTCTCACATAGGTATCTCACGGCTGCAACAGAGAATCTATTCCAATATAGGCCGTTGAGCTCATATTATCCAGAGTATCACACCGGCACTACGTACAATGGTTTCATTGACGTATCGTTGCCCACATACGAGACTCATCAGCTAACTAGCAAGACAGAAGAGAAGCTCTACTGCCAGCAACTGGGCAGTAACGAATCGCCCAAATATAGCTACGTGGAAACGAGACACCCCGGTAGCGTCAGCGGTTCGCCGTACGCTGCCAGTCCGGTGGCGAGCGCATCTACGATGCATCCAGCGACGACTGACATGAATGTTGTGCGCGCCGGAAGCAGGCATTCATTGGAAGGTGGCGCATCATCCAGCAATTCCGCCGGTAGCTCACCGGTGACTGGCGCGGCCAACGGTATGCTGACACCGAAGATAGAGGACGTGAAGCCCGAGGTGTACGGCAACGAGGCGCCACGGCAGACTGTGCTGATGTGGGGTGCGCCGCCATCGCGCACACCACCCAGAAACAACGGCAGCTACAGTCCGCCGACGCCACACTCGACTCATTCTTCCACGCACTCGACCAACGCCACTGGCGATCCGCTCAAATCGTTGGCGGAGATGAATTCCATGAATGGAGATTGCAAATGGCGGCAAACCTCACCTACGGATCAACAAGTGACCGCGTCGAGCCCGCCAAGAAATAATAAAACGCAACAATCTCAGCAGCAACAACAACAGCAGCAACATCATCATCAGCCGCAACAACATCAACAGTACCCGGTGACCACGTCTCAGTATCAAGCGGCTGCAGTTGCCGCCGCGGCAGCCGCCAGCACCATTGGTTACACGCATTCTCATCCAGGTCATGGCGGGCACGGAGAAGCGGGCTCCGAGGTATGGCAAGGAGTGCAACACCATCACTACCAGTACTATCCCTACCACCATCACCACCCCGCACCACCAAGGCACACGCCCCAGTGAGTGTCACTGCTGCCTCACAGATTTTATTATAATTTTCCATCGGCGCGTTTAGGGTAAGGTGACCAAGTTTTTGAAAAAGGATAATGTATCCTGCTTATAATTGATTTTAGTGTTATATTGATTTGCAGGGAACAAATTTTACTTTGTCCGCTTAAAGCAAAACTTCAATTTTTGAATTTTATATTTTTATTTTTTAGAATTATATTTTTTCTGAGAGAGTCTCGGATATTATATATTATATATATATAAATATAAAATCCTTAATTTTGTTAACATTAAAACCATTTCTTTGCAATGTTAACCGTATTTG